GTCACGGGACATACACTTAAGAGGGGTGGCAATTAGCATGGAGGGCCCAAGATGGTTGCTGCAGAAGCATTAGTTTTCTTGGAGGCTTTGAGCAGGGCTAAGGTCAAACTACACATTTGCTATACCCTTTAAAAAATAATGAGAACACCTGGGTCTTAAGTGCTTCTTTTGTCCTAATCTATATTAAGAAGCCAATTCTTCATTTTACACAGCGTGTATCAGGGAACGGGCTGTTGGGAATGTGGCTGTGTCCATTACGCAGAGAAGCAGGTTAATGGGTCAAAACCTGTAACAAAACAAAACCCCTAAGTGATCCCAAGCACTTGATTTGTTAGAGAGAGCACATTAGGCTGGCAGGCAGGGCTTGCTCCTGATGGCTTAGTCTCCATCCCACCTGGTTTCCCTGCTGGCTGTGTGATCCCCCCGGGAGCCACTGCATCACTGCCCTGAGAGTGAGCACACCGGAGTTCCAACACCAGACCTCATCATGTAGACCTCATCATGTAGTAGACCTCATGGTCTACTCATCATGTGACCTCTGCCAAGCTCCCTGAGCATTCTGAGCCTCAGTTTCCTCTTCTGTAAAATGGGGCTAATCTCAGCACTCCAGCCCTCACAGGCACTCAGGAGGCTGTAGCAAGACGACTATAATGCACGCTGTCAGTCATGCGCCTCCAGACCCATGAATGGAAGGTCCCGCTGAGATAGCTGCCTCTGGAAATGTGTGCAGATTTATCTGACCCCACATGGAGCTGGGCATGGGTCTGGCTGCAGATGGTCATGCCCAGTTAAGCCATGTGCAGCAGTCATTCAGAGACAGAGAATGAGCAGCTGGATCGAACATCAGTGTCTTTAGATTTAGGAAGTGTTTGTTGACCTTTGACCATGTGCTTCAGTGCAGCTGTGTCTGTCCTCACTGCAACCCCACCTGCTGGATCCCATGCATGGTCAGGGCTGACCGAGGGCATAGGGCACCCGGGTCCACTGTGGGGTGGCTCTGATCAGGCCTCTCTGGTACCCTCTGCAGTTTTGCATCATCAAAATATAGAGACATGCCCTTTAACCAAGTTTAGGTGGAGGGCCGGTGATGAAGGGTGGGGTCTCAGGAGTAGACTGTCGTCAGTTGGAATCTTGTCTCCCTGCTCCCTGGCTCTGAGGTCTTGAGCAAGGTGCTTCACCCCCAATCCTCGGTGCCCCCTGTACAGGGGGCATGAGCATGACGGTGCTTCAGGGACAGTTAGGGGTGAAACGACATACCATATCTTAAACAAGTAGTTTAGCACTGGGCTCACAGTAAATACTCAAATAATAATGTTAATTATGAGCTTCCACTACCTGAGTGAAGGCTGGAAGAGGGAAACAAAGCCAGAGAGTTGGCAGTGAGAAGCCTCAAGCTTGAGCCTGCTCTGAGGAGAGGTGGGAGACCTTGCCCAGGTGCCCAGAGACATTTTTGGGGCAAATCTCTTTTGGAGAAGCCCATGCCCATCTGTGTGCAGGGCTAGCTAGAGGGAGAGGGCTTTTTTTTTGGGGCAAATCTCTTTTGGAGAAGCCCATGCCCATCTGTGTGCAGGGCTAGCTAGAGGCTCTCCTACCTGAGTGAAGGCTGGAAGAGGGAAACAAAGCCAGAGAGTTGGCAGTGAGAAGCCTCAAGCTTGAGCCTGCTCTGAGGAGAGGTGGGAGACCTTGCCCAGGTGCCCAGAGACATTTTTGGGGCAAATCTCTTTTGGAGAAGCCCATGCCCATCTGTGTGCAGGGCTAGCTAGAGGGAGAGGGCTTTTCCTCTGGAGTGGGGGCCCAGGGACGTGGATCTCCCCGTCCCTCCACCCTGAGCCTGGAGGGCCTGAGAAGTGCAGCCTCTGCTCTGACATTCCCCTGAGGATGAGGGATAAACAGGATGGCAGACACTGAAAGGGAAGCCAACCTTGCCTTCCTAGCCAGCAGTGGAGACCGATCCCACCAGATGGGGCTTTTCTCCTCGTGTACAGAAGGGCCCTGGACCACTGTGCTCCCATCTCAGTGCAAACCCAGCTCCCAGGTGCCCTCTCTTGGCAGCTGGTCTGCTGTGAGAACCAGTCACAGGACTGAGCCTCCCTGGGCCTGAGTCTCCCACCCAGGATGTCTTCACCCTGCCTTCAGCACAGGAAGGCATGGAGTGCTCACGGTCTGTGTGCAGCTCCCCAGTTGTGTCTGTGTCTGTGGGCGGCACCTGGTGCCACATCTTAGCAACTGAGGAACTCAGGGGTCACATGCATGTGCACACACACGTGTGTGTACACACAAGCACACACCCAGTGCCTTCCCAGGCCAGGGAGGAAGTGCAAATGAGCCGGCTCAGTGAGCAGTACCTTGGCAGGGCTTGCCATGGGCACAGCCCCAGGGCCTTGCTGTCCTGGCGCCCTCCGTGACTCTGACAGTCATGGATGCTGTCTGCAGGGGGTCCAGTGTGGAGACTGCTGGACTGGAGGCTGCAGTCCCTCAGGGGCTGCCTGATCCCTGAGGGTGACACTGCAGGCACACTTGGGTCTCATAACTTTCTAGTTTCTGGAGAATCCACACTTCCTCCCTGCAGGGGGATGTGGGTCACCTTAGGCAACTTCCACCACAGGGTTTCTGCAAAGTGATGGCCTCTGTTTCAAGTCTTGTTTTCTGTCCAGCAGCAGTGCCCCCATAAATGAGGCCTGGACTTCTCAGCAGAGGATTTCAACAAAAAAGAGGCTTAGGGGAACAAGGAATTTGCAAATCTTACACGCTGGAAACAGGCCACGAGTTCAGTGATGCTGGAAGAAACTTGAGATTTGCCTGAGAGCACCAAAGCCCCTCTCTCTAGCGTTCCTCTCACTCCCACACTCCAGAAAGCCCCAGCAAGATTATTTGAAAGCCTTGCCATTAGAAGGCAACTCATAACCTATTTTTAGCCTGGATCTTGTACCAAAACCAAGCGGGAGGCCCATCCTCAGCACCACCAGCAGCCCTCTGCACAGAGATAAGGTGGTGTTAAGAGAAGCAGCGTGGACGTGTGTGGGGTGCGAGTGCGTGGGGGCCGCAGACCCTGCCACCAGCTGAGATAACTCAGACTCTTCAGCTGTCTTCAGCTAATCCATTAGAAGTGTAAATACAGACATTTAAAACAGCTTCTGGACAGGAGGCAGGCCTCAGCTGTGGTGGAGTGTGGCTCGGGAGCCATCACTAGGATTCCCCCTAGAAGGGCAGGGTGGACTGAGATCAGTAGAGGTAGTCTAGGACTCTACCCCAGATGTGGAAACCTATTTAGGGTTACCTTCTGCTGCCCAGTATGGGCTGTTGGGGACCTTGGTGGCCATCCCCTTATGTGTAGGTGACAATGCGGTTCTGAACAAGCCTGGAGCTGGCTCCTTCAGCAGCTTATCCACTCAGGGCCTTAGCAGAGCGATTGTGGACACTTCCTGATGCCCACTGGGAGGATGCAGGGAGGGTTTTGGCCAGAGACCTGGCCTTGGTGAAAGTCAAGGGACCAGGGCTCCAGGCTGGCTGTCTGCCTGACCTGCAGCCTGACCTTTGGCAAGGTCACTGCCCCTATTTGAGCTCAGGTGCTCCACCTTGTAACAGGAGGGTAGGATTAGACCATATCCAGCAGCCTTTCCTGCTCTAACCTGTGGCCTAGATGCCGCATGAGTCCACTGGTCACCTTGTAGGTGAGCCCAACCCTGTGCCCTGGGAATGAACCAGATCCCCACTGAGCTCTGGAGTGTGTCATGGGGTCTTCTGCCAAGAGGTTTCTGTCTTCAGTTCCACTTAGCTATGCTCAGTTCCTGCACCCTTGATATGGTCACCTTGTAGGTGAGCCCAACCCTGTGCCCTGGGAATGAACCAGATCCCCACTGAGCTATGGAGTGTGTCATGGGGTCTTCTGCCAAGAGGTTTCTGTCCTCAGTTCCACTTAGCTATGCTCAGTTCCTGCACCCTTGATCTTTCAAAACACCTGGCCAGCAGGTCCAGTATCTCCATCGTGCAGATCAGAAATCATAGTCCCAGGGGGCCAGGTTGCTCCCCTAAGGTCACATGTTGGGCAAGTGACAGGGCTGAGGCTAGAACCAGCACGGCTTTGAGTCCAAGCTGGAAGATCTTTCCCATTTGGCAAGACCTGCAAGTAAGCTTTTGTCCAGTGGCGGGGAAGGGCTTTCATGGGCAGTGTGTGTCTCTCTCTGTCCCCGAGGGACAGAGGTGAGGGCCCTCACCACATTGCCTGTTCACTCTCCCAAACAGCCAGCCCTGTGGGGCACGGGGCCCTGGGGAAGTTGAATTGAGCAGGCAGTGCTCAGGATAGTGGCCGTTGGTTCTGCTCCAACCTTCTGCCCTCCTGGCCAATTAAGCAGCCCTGTGACCTGGCTGGGTGAGGGACAGGAGCCCAAAACAAGGAACCACCTCTCCCCCCAAACCCACAGTTGTCCCTGCAATCAGGCCATGGGAGGCCTGGGTTTTGCAGGGCGTTCTGATAACAGGTCTGGTGGGCCTGAGGGAAGCCTGCCACCTCCGTGTCCAGCCTAGCCCAGACCACTCCCCCAGGACAGAGCTGCTCCATGACTAGGAATCCTCTCTCCATGAGATAGGGCTTACTTGACCATTTTCATGCCCATGCAGAGAGGCACTGATTCCCATGTTTGCCCAGCCCTCTACACTCTCACCTTCAGTCCCCACGGCCTCCTCACAACACCCTCCGAGCAGGTGGGGACAGGCCCCCTCCACTCATTTTGCAAATGAGGATACTGAGGGCTCCCAAGGTCATACAGAGGGTGGGTGGCCAAGCAGGGATTTGGCGCTGGGCCCTCTGGCTCTGCTCTGAGGCTCATTCCCCAGAGCCTGCCCCTGCTCTGTGGAGCAGTGTTTCTGGGGACTTGAGAAAGAAATTGAAGGGGAGAAGTGGCCAGATGTGCCCACCATCTCCCAGCTGGCTCCCACCCCTCAGACAGCCCTGTGAGCTGTGGCAGCACTCAGGGGATGGCAGCTGGGAGGCGGGGTCTTACCTGCAGCAGTGGTGATGCCCAGGAGCCGGCAGGTATATTCCAGCCCAGTCCAGAACATCTGCAGCTTCATGGTGCTGGGGGTGAGGGCAGAGTCCCAGCAGGGCAGGCAGCAGAGGCTCCCACACCGAGATGCTCCTGAATGCCTGTGCACAGGCAGGAGGCTGTGGCTGCAGGCTCTGGGCCCCCGTGTCCGAGGGCCCTGCCTTCCCAAACCGGTCCTGGCCACCGCAGCCTGGCCCAGGTGTGAATAGGGTTCACCTTCCCGGCTTGGCTGCCGTGCCCTTGCCAGGCGCTCAGCTTAATCATTACCTTGGAAGAATGCTCTCACTGCTCCTCGCAGCCCAGCCTGGCCTGGAGCCGCAGCGGCCCCAGTGCAGCCGCCGGAGATCAGGACGATTAGGGCTGGGCTGGAGGCAGCCCGGAGCTGGCAATTAACTGTTTCTGGCTGGGAGGAGGGAGACCAGAGGGGAGCCCAGGCCCTTCCTCACGGGCAGCTCTGAGAAAGTCACACCTGGACCTCACACCTGCCAGGGGTCTGAAGAGTCAGTCTCTGGAGGGGACCGTGCTTGCAGATCCAGGTTTGTGTGCGTGTGAGAGAGGGGTGTGTCTTTAAATCACCAGTAGAAACAACTTCTGAAATGAGTTCCGAGCTTCATTCTTGTGCATATAGGTGGATTAGAAAGCTTTTTAAGTCTGTGGCAGATTTGGACTCTGACCAGACATACTTAGCTCAGGCCCATGCCACACAGGGACCTTCCTTTATCCTGGACATATATCCCCGACATGGGATGTGGGAAATTACTATGAGTGTTTGGGAGGGGAGTTGCTAAGCCAATAATTAACTGGGTGACCTTGGGAAAACTCAGAGGTATCTGTGAGCCTTAGTGACTTTTGCAGAAAATAAATGAGAGGTTTTGGCTGGATTGGTGTGACAAATCAAAGCATGTGAATGTCCCAAGGAGCCCAG